GATAGATAGATAGATAGATAGATAGATAGATAGATAGATAGATAGATAGATAGATAGATAGATAGCTAGATAGATAGATAGATAGATAGATAGATAGATAGATAGATAGATAGATAGATAGATAGATAGATAGATAGATAGATAGATAGATAGATAGATAGATAGATAGATAGATAGATAGATAGATAGATAGATAGATAGATAGATAGATAGATAGATAGATAGATAGATAGATAGATAGATAGATAGTAGATAGATAGATAGATAGATAGATAGATAGATAGATAGATAGATAGATAGATAGATAGATAGATAGATAGATAGATAGATAGATAGATAGATAGATAGATAGATAGATAGATAGATAGATAGATAAAATATAAGTGATTTGTTTAAAGCGAATATTAAGCGGTAATACTACAAAATCACAATGCTCGGCTATAAGTTCCATGACCAGATAAAAAACCATTTACTAAAGTAGTTGGAATGTTTTGTTTTTATTCATTTTGCTTCCGTCCGACTTTTATATGGAATATATTTCAATTCAAAAGGATATCAGAAATTGAAATTGGATTGATTCGGTCTTGGGCTCAAAAATGGAATCCATATGGAGTCCATATGTTACCAGAAAAAATATCATAGCTAATGATAATCAATACTTTAAATCAATTTATTGTTGAAAACATATTAAGTTTAAGAAAGGTATTGAATTTGGTCCGATTTTAACGGGTTATTGGAGATGAGTATATTTCACAAATGGTCCAAATGGAACAAAATGTTAAACATTGATTTTTGTTCCATAAAACTTATTAGTAAAGAATTACAATTATGTACATATTTCAGACATTTAAGACTTCTTAGGATCATTTGTAGGGAGGCTAAGTAGAATAATGGACCGATTTTAAGTAGTTTGAATTGGATTCATTGTTGGTGTAAAATAATTTCACTGAGTTATTTTCTGATCTTAGAGACATCAAAACAAAATTCTCCCCACTAACTGCATAAGGTTCAAAAACCTAGTTAAAATAGAAGATTAAGGTGTGATCCATCGCCAAAATAATTAAAATATTTCCTTAACTAGTTTCTTTTTTCATTGACTCTTTAAGAACTTCTATCAATAATTTTGGGGATGAATGATAATAAAGTTATCAGTGAAACAAACAGCTGTTCAATTCCCCCAAAAACAATATTTGAAATAGAGAAAAAACGAAAAAAAAATACATTAAGCATTTGACAACACCCACCAATACCAAGTCAGTACATATAACAGTAATTGTGTTTACATACAAGAAGACAGACAGAAGATAATAAAGAAAATAACAAAAATTACCCTAATGTATACAAAAACTATTGAGCCCCCCGAACTCCACCTTTTACTAATAAGTAAAATGTATAAAACCAGTTAAAGCTACTTGGAGAAAAGAAAAACTAACAGACAGTTTGAACCAAAACAAAAAGGGTGGTTAGCTGACTCAACTCGACCCCAAACAGAAAAATGGCCAAAGTAACAACAACAACGTAATACGAACGTTTGTATAAAATAGCAGACAAAGGAAAAACATAACAAAAACACAACGCATACACGTTTGTATAACAACAATTATTCTAGCTAGTCAAACACAACAACCCCCGTATAACATCATCATTGACAACAAAAACACCAATAACAACTGATATCTATGTATGTATATGATGGAGAAAAACAACAACAACGAATAGCAACAATCACCAACTTTACAGCAAGTACAAAAATTATTGATTTTTCAACCATGACAAATGCATAAAAGGAAACTTTTTGTATTCATAGAAATTGATTTTAGCCCATAAATAAGAATATTTGTTATTTTTCAATAAATTAATTAGTTTATATTGAATTGCATTATAAAGCTAACATATGTTTGTATTAAAATTTTAAGATTTCATAATTGATGATTTATAAAATCGAGCTAAAATTTTTTGTTTGCCAAAATTTCTAATAATCTTTTGTTCGTTCACATACCTGTATCACCAATTATAATATATTTGAATAAATAGGCGTAAGACATCTTTAAAATTTGAGTTGTTTTTTTAACTTTCAGTCGTTAAAAATAATAATTAAATATTTATCACAATTTTTTCTAAATATTTTTTTAATGAATTTCTTTTTTAGGATTTCTGCAATATTTTTCACTACGCAATTCGTGTTAAGTTTTTCATCCAACAACAACTTGTGAGAGATCTACGCCGTCGGCGTATAAATATTAACGACGATAGCAGCGGCGGCTGCACTGTTGCCAATTTAGCTATTTTCTCGTCAAATCTAGCGATTTTTAATCCCATTTTGCGGGGGAAAATATGATATAGCTATTAGCGGGAAATCTAGCGATTTTTCTATAGATTTTAAGGCATTTTTTATTCATTTATATTTTGATAATATCGCTTAAAAGTTGCTACGAATGACGATATTTACATATATGTATGTATATAAAAATATGCATTCAATGTAAATTATTTGAGTTTTAGCTGTGTGTATTATACTTATTTTGAATGTTCTGAAGAACATAATTAGGAGCAAATATTTGTGCGTACAGGTAAATTTATACGAACAACTTTAAAAGGGGTATATTTTGTTGTACTCAATTAAAAAACGAATATTTATAGGGCCGCATATCGATATTGCAGATAAACTTCTCACAAAAGGAGTGTATAATAATAATCTTGGGTGCCCCGGTAGGCTAGTGTGCTAGCCTGTCAGTCTGGGGGTTGTGGGTTCGATTCCCAGCAGAGATCCTGGTCTGCTACACTACAACGGTCGTATGGTTATCGTCACCCTGCTCGGTAAATTAGGTTAGAATATAATTTGTAATTGTATTGTAATGGAAAAATAAATAATACTCTTATGCCGAAAATAATGGATCGATCCATAAAGGCCAGCATTTCGAAATTCAATTTATCTTTACAACATTTCTAAAGCAATCTGTATAGGGTCACATGTCGAAATTAACCTCAACTTGACATTTTTCCTAACCCAAAGTGAAAATATTTAACATAAAAAAAGATTCTCTTATGTGTTTGTTATAAGATGTGTTTGTATTACTATCCCATTCCTACGTATGTATATAGATTTTAGCGATAAATCGCTGACTTTTTAGAATAATATAAAAAATCTAAAAAAAATTAGCTAGTTTTTTTAGCTATTTCTTTTCAGAATCATATAATAAATATTATTTTGACGATTTATCGCTAAATTTTTCAAAATGTCTTGAATTTAGCTATTTTCTAGCTATTTTTCAGTCGACTTTAGCGATATTTTTGGGAAAAAAGTTGGCAACAGTGGGCGGCTGACACAAACAATTTCGATTTTTATTTAAAAATTATGGATTACGAATGAAAAAATAGTGTAAGAAATTAAAACAAAAAAGATACACCTACAGAATTCGCAGATTTTCGTAAATATTTACATGTACTTTAAAAACACATCCGTTTTTCGTCACGTATGATATCGCCATATTTTAATCCATATTTTGGAAAACAAGGTTCCGAATGGGATGATTCCTTTTGAAAATATAGTATTCTCTAAATGGAACAGAATGACAAAATTGTTTTCCAAGTACTCCAAATTTTACAAAATATATACCACTCTGAAAGTGTGCGAATGTCACATACAGTCGTATGGAATTGCCCATATGCGTCAAATCACGAACACAAAACGAAATAACTCATGAGCCACAAACTACCAATGACCATTTTTCATATGAACAATTGTATTTCAATTTAAACAGATAAAAACATTTTAAAAACCACACAAAAAATAACAACAAAACAAACAAAAAAAGAAGAATGAGAAATAATCATTAAATATTTATGGCATAAAATAAATTTATCAACGAAACAGGTGAATATCCTGGGAAAATATTATACGCCTTCGGCGTACGAACGTCACATACAATCGTATGGAATTGCCCATATATAAAATTCATACTAAGATGATCTTTGCTATTTATTAAAATTGTGATGGGAACCTTGGGAATCAACCAATTGTTTACGCATATTTATGACCATTCGAAATGAAATGATATTCATTCAAATCCAAATACATTTTCTCATTTATTCTAAAGTTATTTTGCCATTATTGATGATACAGACGCAAATTCATCAAGTGATTGGAAGGAATACTTCAGTTTTTTCTTCTTTTATAAATGATTCAAATAATGTGATCTAAAGTCGCTTTAGGCCCACAATATTTTTATAACGAACTTCAAATTAAAGGTGAAAATCATAAGAAAATATTTATCTTTGTTTAAAATAAACTTGAATTTGTAAAGAAATATATGAGCAAATAAAATCAATAGTGTTTGATTTGCATAACTATATACAAAACATATTCGTTTAGAGTTTTATCCCGATATTGTTATTATTAAGCCATTAGTTTTTTATGTTATTTTGGGAAGTGGACATTATATGGAAGTTATGGATCGATCCGGAAAATATTTTGCAGAACGAATTGTATATTTACAAAACATATTCATGTAGAATTTTATTCATGAGTTTTTTTTTAACGATTAACTAATTTTCAGATGTAAACTTTATATGTAAGCTATGACTAATTATAGCCGATTTGTGTTAAATTTTGTCCTGACATAGTTATTCGTTAATAAACCATGTTCGTTTAATTATTTGTCGCGATTGGACCCTATATGAGAGCTGTGGTCCATTATGTACCGATTCAGGTAATACCGATATTGTAGAGGGTATTATTCATTTAGCCATAAAGAGTATTTCATTTTGTAAATAAATTTAGGGCTCATATCTAGCGAAAACCTTGATGAACAGAAAACTTCGATGATAGAATCCTTGCGTACTGTCCACATGTTTACGCAATTTTGTTGAGATTTTTTAATAAAGAAAACAGCCAAATTAGCCACATTACAAATAAAAATCTATCATATAAACATAGAGTTGCATTATTTATTTAGTTGAGACAGCAACCCTTGAAATTCGTCATACCTGCCTTTCTTTAATACATCTGGCAACTCATAATACAAATACACATAATTGTCACTTTTTTCATTTATACGAAAGAAAAGTTAAAAAGAGAAAACGAGAAAAACTGCATATAAAAAAGGTTTTTCTTCGTTTTTAATAAAATATTTCGATATTTTATTAAAACTAAATATTTGCATTACAAATTTCATTGTTTATACTTTTCATATACATCTGTAGAACGTAGTTTTGTTAAAAATTGACGCGAATAAAAAGTGATTATTAACTTTGTAAAAAACTGCTCGCATTACTTTTCAGTGGGGCTGAGTAGTAGAAAAGAAGTTGAAAGAAAACATGAAGATGGCTGACGGCACAACCATTGTACGTAGAAATAGACCAGGAACTAAGGCGAAGGTAAGATGAAAATGAAATTATTGAATTTATGTAAAAAAACATACACTTTTGACAAAAGAGAACAAAATTAAAGGGAGTAATTGTAATTAAAAATGTTTTATTACATATAGGACTTTTGTCGTTGGCCCGATGAGCCCTTGGAGGAAATGGACAGCACATTGGCTGTACAACAGTATATACAGCAATTGATTAAAAGGGATCCCTCAAATGTGGAACTCATATTAACTATGCCAGAGGCTCAAGATGAGGGTGTTTGGAAATATGAACATTTAAGGTGGGTACAAAAGAAACTTTCTTACCACCCCTTGCCCTAACCCTAACCCTTCCCCTTGCTTTTGCTTTATTCATTTTTATTATGTTTTTGTGTTTTGATTACATTTGTATTTTTCGATTATTTCTATTGTTTAGGCAATTTTGCATGGAATTAAATGGTCTTGCAGTACGTTTGCAAAAACAATGTTCTCCCTCTACTTGCACCCAAATGACTGCCACCGATCAATGGATATTTTTATGTGCTGCTCATAAAACACCAAAAGAATGTCCTGCCATTGATTATACCCGTCATACATTAGACGGCGCAGCTTGTCTACTCAATAGCAATAAATATTTTCCAAGTCGGTAAGTGTAATATTCATTTATTTTAAATATGAAATCAGTTCAGTTCAAAGACTAGCCAATAGATTAGTTCCTAAACTAGTCCATTGAATAGTTTATGGGATAGTCAAAGATTACATCATATACTTTTCAACAGACTATTCCAAAAAGTAATGCACTGAATAGGAAAAGGAAAGTATTTTGAAACAAATTCATTTCCAAGTATACATATTTTCCAAAATTTTAAAGTCTTTTCGCTTCAGTTTCATAATTCTATTTACAAAAATAATATTTCTTCTTTGCAGAGTTTCAATAAAAGAATCATCGGTAACTAAATTGGGTTCGGTGTGTCGTCGTGTCTATAGAATTTTTTCTCATGCTTATTTTCATCATCGGCGTATATTTGATGAATTCGAAGCAGAGACTTATCTCTGTCATCGGTTTACACATTTCGTAACAAAATACAATCTCATGTCAAAGGAAAATCTAATTGTACCCATCAATGAAGAGGCTGAAAATGCAGCGCCCGGCGAAAGTGAAGCCTAAAAACAATTCGAATATTTTTTGGAATAATTTCAATAAACAACAACAAAATTAAACATCTTAAAGGATAAAAACAATAATAGAAAGGTAAAAATGTAAGAAGCGCTGGAGCGCCTTAAGCAACAGTTGAGAAAAAAAAAAAAAAGAAAAACAAAAACACTGCAAATGAAATGTAGAAGTATTTATTAAAGAAAAGAAAAAAAATCACACTATACAACACACAAATCTACAAAATAAAATCATTGTAAGAGATTCATTAAATTAATAAAATAAATAATAAACACCAACCAATATAAAAACAAACTCTCCCCTATTATTAAAACTATTATATAAACATAAAAATTGCAAAAAAAAAAAAAAAAAAAAAAAAAACATCAAGTAATCAAGTGTATTTAAACACACAAAAAAAATGAAGGGAATCGTCGTCATATAGAGCGCTAAAAAAGAACTCAATATATTTAAATAAAATAATTTAACAACTAATAAACCAATAAACAATTCCTTTATAATAAAAACTCTAATAATAAAGTAAAAAACAAAAAACCATTAAAAAAAAACTAAATCATAAAAGAAAATAATTGAAAAAAAAGTAAATATTTATTTCATCCCCCAAGCCATTTCAATAGTTAGTTCTTTGCTATTTCAAAATTTTCATTTCATTTTTCATATTAAAATATGTACAAAACATATTTAATTTTATGAGCAACTTCATTAATTTACTCAAAATTCTTTTAAATTTTGACATTTTCAAAACTAATACCTTTTTTTTAATGCAATTTAGTATATTTCATTATTTTTTTTAAGAGTAGAGTATAAATATATAATTTAATTATATAAATTTCATTAATCCCTATCACATATAATATTGTAAAATCTCATAATTACATCTCCCGTATAATTATTTGGAAAACTTAAGAACAAATTAAAAAAAAAAATTGACAAACATTTAAAACAAACTGTATGCTAAAATAAAAATAAAAAAAACAACAAAAACTCATTTATTTAATAGTACCAATATTTGTGAAAAAAACAACAAAAATTATATATAAAAAAAATAATAAAAAATAAAATAAAAATCTAAACTAAATGAGACATTTATTAGTCGTGACGTAATTTTAGGGCATTTATTATATTTTACCCTATACCACTGTTGTGGGGATGTTAATATATATTCATCCTATACCTATCATATAGAATACAGAATAATTTTCTATTTCGATTAAGCCATGTTGTTGTTGTTGTAACAGCTAAAACTATACAATAATCTAGTTGAGGGTTTCTACATCAATGTCCAGGCCTAATAAATCCATTGGACAGAGTGAAGTAGGGTTGGCTGAGCAGTTGAATATGTGGTGGGTATCATGAGGACCCTGACCACATGCAGGACATTCGTTGGGGACGGCACGGTCTATACGTGACCAGTAGGCATTGAGCCTGTTGCTCCATCCCGATCTTAGTTGTGCCAGAACTACTCTTGTTTTCCGCGGCAGGGTTTCTTCCGTGTCTTCTATGGGCGGTGGGCGACCTCCAAGTACGACATTCATGCGGTATCCTGCGACCGCGGAATTTATGGCGTCTCTATGAATGTCGTTCAAAGCTGCCGAATACGAGGACTGACCCAGTGGATCCTGCACATGCCTCGGGGGAGTATCCAACTGTGTGATGTTAAAATTGCGATGACTTCTCCGATGACATCCCAGGAGGAACTGTTTAGTCAACATAACATTGTGTTCCTTGACTGAGAGGACCATCGTTTCCTCGTGCAGGTGATGTTCCGAGGGCGGCATTTTGGCAGCTTTGAATGTTTTTCCACTGGGTATCACTTAGCGAAGGTGTGTGATGTTAAAATTGGGATGACTTCTCCGATGTTATTCCAGGAGGAACTGTTTAGTCAACATAACATTGTGTTCCTTGACTGAGAGGAACTTCGTTTCCTCGTGCAGGTGATGTTCCGAGGTCGGCATTTTGGCAGCTTTGAATGTTTCTCCACCTTGGTATCACTTAGCGAAGGTGACCACACTGGAGCAGCATAATTAACCACTGACCGACCAATCGTTTTATAATACCCCAAGTGCTGCCGGCTAGCGCTTTGAGGACCTTGTTTCTACTTCGCAATTTGTGCGTGATTGCAGTGGCGTGAGCTGAGGAAGTAAAGAGGCTATCAAATGTGACCCCCAATATTTTTGGGTGGTGAACGTTCGGAATTTGGACTCCATAGACCACGATGCCAAGGTTTAGGTTTACTTCTTTCGTACAGGTGGTAAAAAATGTTGTTGACGACTTCGCTGGTGATAATTGCAGGTTACGCGCAGTGAAGCCAGAAGACTTAAGCCATGTCTGCTCATCTGGTTAGCTGTCTATTGAAAATGCTTGAAATCGGGCCATTACTTCTAGTCCCCATACAACCCGACCCCAATATAGAACTTTATTTATCATTGTTATGTTAAATACAAAATTATCTAAATATACAAAAAGGCACAACCACTTTTTATACGTCTTATATGACCGTTTCCTTCCTTATAAAGTACCCTACAGAAAATAACTTGAACGTCCATTATTCACTTATTAACAGTTGAAATTCGGCAAAAATAACTAATATATTAACTAGGTTAGGTTAGCACAGACAGCAAATGCAGCTTTACTCGGGTCCAAGTCCAAGAAAAGAAATTGCCATTGGAGTAAAAAGACGTGACTACAAAGATTACGTCCTGATTAGTGGGAATACCGAAGTTCACACCCATTCTGACAAATTTATGAACGCCAAAAACGTACCAATTGGATATTCAAATAGATCGGCAAAGTAAGCCAATCCAAGCGTCCGAATTCGGACAATTACAGAGAATAGGAAGATATAGTCTCTTCTTCATAATCATTTTGACAACTCCTGAAGAAATCATTGAACGGAAGACCAATGCGTCTAAAAATCTCTCCACTAAGTTTTATAACGATTTGACTATTTTTAACTGTAGACCCCATCCGGTGCATGTTCTTTGTCTTTGAAGCTAGTAATCTAGTTCACTGTAGGGGAAAATTCTTCCTCTGATGTCACCTAGTATCCCTTCTAAATGCCAACATCTCATTGAGAGAATGCCTCCAAGGTAACTTTGTAAATACAAAGCCCTCCTCCTTTTTACCGGATCGTCAAACAGCTGATGTCGAGGGCTTAGCGTTCGTTAGAAGCAAACCAACTCATGATAACACTAGATTCTTTTGAATCTAGCTACGTGCTGCTTGTGCTTCTTGGGGAGGTACTTCTCCGTCGAGAACCACTCCTGATCTCTCTGCTACATCTTAGCCAGAAAGGACACAGATTTCTGGGTGTCGTTCTTTGCACTCTACTCTTTTGTTCGACTAGAATTAGAAAAATCCCCTGAAGGTGCTAGAGGCGACTTCTCCACGTCCGCTTGCCGAACAAGTTTGTCGTCTTTTGCGCCGTGTGGACAACTTTTTTCTAAATGCTTGATCCTCATTGATCAACCTGAAGATTTCTTGGCTTATTTGATCCATTCGCAGGGTATTAATATTAGTACTGCGAAAACTGTTACGTCTGCAAGTTCTGTTGCCTCAACTAAATGTTGCAACCACAAATAATAAACTCGCAGTCCTGATGTCGTATGAACTTCCTAACTTACCCGTAATACGAATAGGAGTTTTTAGTTATTCTGAATCTGACCTCTCAATTTCTCCATTACATCTTATGGTAAATTTTGAAGTTTCAAGATGTTATATGAGTTATTATACTCCATGGTTATGTTATATATCACATCTTTAACCTATGAATAACATTGTAAATGGTGTAAAATAAATTGAATTATTGCTTGTTAAGTGTTGATTGCTTGATTAAGATGGCAATGATAAAGATGACGATGATGATGATGATGATGACATGGTGGTAATTGAGAAAATATGATAGAAATTCCTGCAAACATTCCTTAAGAAAATAAAGCCATGCTACTCGTATAATACTTTTATTTCTATTCATTTTCTTACAGAAAAAACTAAGAAGGACGGGTGGGTTCTTGGTGCTAGAAAATTGATCTATTACAAAATTTAATTGCGGTTGTGTGGATGTGTGTGTATGTAAAATGGCTTTGACACGTCCTTGTCAATTGACACGTGGATGTTGAATAAATAATTTTAATAAATTCTACGATTGTTGGAAAATAATAGTTGTAATTGTTGTATGTAGTTGTAAATTCAATGAAATGGAAGTTAAATAGTGGTTTCTTATTTGTACTTATGAAATAATGAAAACAAAACAATAAGATAAGATAAGAGATTCAATGCTGTTATTGATTGTACATAGTTCTCTGTACTCCTTGCAATATGGAAATATTCAAGAGAAAAGTTTTTATAAGTTTCTTAAAGAATTGATTGTTAGTTAGCTAGTTAGGTAGATAGATAGATAGATAGATAGATAGATAGATCGATAGATTGATGATAGATAGATCGATAGATAGATAGATAGATAGATAGATAGATAGATAGATAGATAGATAGATAGATAGATAGATAGATAGATCGAAAGCTAGATCGCTCGCTCGCTCGCTCGCTCGCTCGATCGCTCGCTGCTCGCTCGCTCGTCGGCTCGCTGCTCGCTCGCTCTCTCGCTCGCTCGCTCGCTCGCTCGCTGCTCGCTCCTCCGCTCGCTCGCTCGCTCGCTCGCTCGCTCGCTCGCTCGCTCGCTCGCCGCTCGCTCGCGCTCGCTCGCTCCTCGCTCGCTCGCGCTCGCGCTCGCTCGCTCGCTCGCTCGCTCTCGCGCTCGCTCGCTCGCTCGCTCGCTCGCTCGCTCGCTCGCTCGCTCGCTCGCTCGCTCTCGCTCGCTCGCTCGCTCTCGCTCGCTCGCTCGCTCGCTCGCCTCGCTCGCTCGCTCGCTCGCTCGCTCGCTCGCTCGCTCGCTCGCTCGCTCGCTCGCTCGCTCGCTCGCTCGCCTCGCTCGCTCGCTCGCTCGCTCGCTCTCGCTCGCTCGCTCGCTCGCTCGCTCGCTCGCTCGCTCGCTCCTCGCCCGCTCGCTCCTCGCTCGCTCTCCGCTCGCTCGTCGTCGCTCGCTCGCTCGCTCCTCGCTCGCTCGCTCGCTTCGCTCGCTCGCTCGCTCGCTCGCTCGCTCGCTCGCTCGCTCGCTCGCTCGCATCGCTCGCTCGCTCTCTCGCTTCGCTCGCTCGCTCGCTCGCTCGCTCGCTCGCTCTCGCTCGCTCCTCGCTCGCTCGCTCGCTCGCTCGCTCGCTCGCTCGCTCGCTCGCTCGCCTCGCTCGCTCGCCTCGCTCGCTCGCTCGCTCGCTCGCTCGCTCGCTCGCTCTCGCTCGCTCGCTCGCTGCTCGCATCGCTCGCTCGCTCGCTCGCTCGCTCGCTCGCTCGCTCGCTCGCTCCGCTCG